ATGGATGTTTAACCTTAAATGTATCTGTGACACATGCTTAATATCATGACAGAAAAATCTCAAAATTATGGCTGTTGTCTTGTGCTTGCACCTGGGACCATTCAACAAAGTAACATTAACGCTGACTGTTGTAATTCAATGTTAGAGTATGAGAGAAGTCTTAGCGCTAACATCACTTTGTGGAATGGAATCCTGGGTATAAATGTGTTATCATTGAATGACATGGCAGGGTTATACAAATAGCAGTATTGCCTGGAAACTGGTACGAAGTGATGTATGCTTCATATAAAAACATCAATGTTGGATGGATAATAACTAGATCAATCTGTACTGAAAAACATGACAACCACTTCCCCCTGTTTATTATAAAAATGGACTGAAAGATCTTTAGTGAGAAACAGGAATTAAACTAAAGCATACTTGAACTAAACTAGCAGTGGATACAAAGGCAACAGACTGCTCTGCATGGCTGTTCATCCACTTCTACTGACTGCGTTTGGTTTTACGCCGCTTTTAGCAATATTCCAGCAACATCACGGCAGGGGGACACCAGAAATGGGCTTCACACATTGTACCCATGTGGGGATTCAAACTCGGGTCTTCGGCGTGACGAGTCAACGCTTTAACCACTAGGCTTCCCAACCGCCCCTCATCCACTTCTAACCTGGAAAGGAAGCTAACTTCAACTATGCGGCATCTATTTTCAGTCAACACATTGGTAAAGCATGTGTGAAAATGCCTATCTCAGTATTAAAATAGCTACTAACTAAAACACATAATGCCCTTAAAGTTTTAAGGTGGTAATTATCAAAGGCTTGAAACGAAAATGGTGAGACAGTTAATATACGAAAAACAAATGTCAAATGATATTATCAAATCACCCATAACTCAGGATTTTCAGGAAACTAAATTTTCACAGGCCTTTAAAATTCGGTAACCAGGGAAGCATAATACTAGTATAAGCTTTCAAGTCGGTTGTCATGTTGTTCAGCAGCTGTTGTGCATCAGGATTTTCTCGCATGAACATGAGGAACACGCTCAAACGGATGAGGAATTTATCATCACTGTGGCAGTGGGTAAGAACATTTTCACACAAGACATAATCACAATGATACCATGGTAACCATCACTCTTACAACGACACTTCTATAAAATATGGCACTTCTATGGGTATGATACAAATGAATGACTTCCTGTGTGAAGGTATCAGTTGTGAAGTTAAATAAATAAATACCTGTCCAAAGGAGCATTTTTATCTGAAAATAACACAGATGACTTGTATGGTGTGGCTCTTGATGTTAAACAGGTCATTTAGCATGAGGGTAAGGATGATTTGGGCTTGTGCAGGAAAGTAAAAATCTTTTACATACAAGAGTATCCCCAAATGAAAACATTTTCTGAAGTATGCTTTCTTCATGTCTAATCTAAACTAAATAAAAAGAGAACATGTTTTCATACATTTACTTTGAGCAGAAATATATCTGAATGTTTAATTCAATGTCTATGGACACTCCATCCAATTGCATATTAAGGGTAGGTACCTCCCTGAGCATGTCCGCTTATTAACCCTTTCACCCTGCTCAAACAAATGACCTGTTGTTTGGAAACACGGAACCAAGTAACATCCCTTCAGGTCAAGATGAGCTGAAACTGAAGAGATGGAGGACTCTGTTTCTCATGTTGAAAACAGACTGATATCATATCAGTAATTTCAGACCGTAAACAGACTGTCAAACTACACCAAATATTGGCGACAATATTTCAAACCGTCCCTTCCTGTCATTCTGAACATTGTGAATTGCTCTACTTTACTTCTTGGACCTGCATCAGTTCAAGTTGACTGAACTCAAATTCAAACTAATTTAGAAACCATCATGGATGGATTCAGAGCATCTGTGCCAGTCACTGAGATGCTTAAGCCGAACAGTAGGTAGAGTTTCTTCCCCAAGCTTGTTAGCCTCGAACATGTCAGGAAATTTTGTAACTAACCTAGTAATTGAGCCTCAATGAAACTCTTTCGTTCAGAGTAGTCAGTTATTGGCTGAATATGATTTATTAGCTGAATATGATTTATTAAACACTCTGCACATTCGAACGAGGGTGCCTATTAAAGTATACCTGTTCCTTGTTTAAACCCTGTCTACAGTTAGGCAATATCTCACAGTTAGGCAACTGCAAATTCCAGGCAGTATTGTGACAAGGTTGATGGTGACTCAGCTGCCAGTTTGGGTGACAGGGTAAGGAGCAGCTGCACAAGCATGAATGCTGTATGACACAGATAGAAATGAACTTGTAAAGTCTACAGCCCAAATAGTGACAACACTAGCTATCCGTTCATCCTCCATATCTGTTAGAAGATTTGAACTAACCCTTAAACACAGCATTACAGCTGAACATAACCTAGAAGTTTGAGACAAACACTTCATGCTTATAAGTCCTATTGCTTCACAATGCTAATACATGTACGACCTTGAGCCAATGCCTAACACCGTTCATAATTTATGGCGAGAGGGGGTGATGATGATTTTAAGTTGTGGGGTGGGGTGGGGTGGTGGTGGTGGTGGTGGTGTGTGTGTGTGTGTGTGTCACCCATTTTGTTCTGGGGAGCTAGGGAGGGTCAGCAATTTTGTACACACGTACTGGGTGTGTGTGTTTCAGCAATTTTGTACATAAAATTATGTTTAAAATTATGCTTAGAAATTATGGGGAGGTGTGTGTGTGTGTGTGTGTGTGTGTGTGTGTGTGTGTGTTCCCCATTGATTTTGTACATGACATGCAAGGGGGTCACTTATTTTGTACAAATATTTGGGTGGGGTGGGGTGGGGCTGGAGGTGGGGTGAAATTCACATTGTACATGCTTCTCCATAAAAATCATCACCACCACCCCCAGCTATAAATTATGAACGGTCCCATAGCTTCCTGCCTGCTATTGGGAACATATCTGACGAGACAGGTGAAATTCATATCAACCTGCCCAACAGAATTTCAGAAAAGAATATTCACTGCAACACTGACAATATGACCGTGATAATTTTGAATCAGCATACATGTGACTCTGTTGCCTGAAAGCAAGAGCTACTTTTGTGACTATAAGATTTAATATCTACCCTAGAATGAGATTACAAATGTTGGCTAGCATCTTCCAGGATGGGCTAGTTGAATATACATCAGACCATCTGGCTAGCTTGAACAAGTAGAATTACAGACAATGCTATGTATGTTCTTTCATCACTGATCTCCACAATCTATTTTGGGCTACTGACTTCAAGTTAGTTCTCTCTATATAAACAGGTACTGGGACATGCTTCGATGGTTGAAGTCCTCAGCAAATTTAATATACAAATGCAGCCACATTTTCTTTCTAAATCCCCCAGAATAGAAAACTAGCAACATTATACAAGGAGTGAATATGTAATTTACCTACAGCTCATAGCTCACTCAAGCACCCAGCTAACATCCGCGAGTCAAAATTATCTGTTTTCCTTTAAACAAAATCCACATGTCAAGGTTATACCTGTTCTCATTCATCGTCTCGATGACCACATACACCAGTGTTCTAGGGCTCGAGTATGGGGTTATATTGAGTCGGGACACTTAAATAATATTCCTACAGGGAACCCAAGAACGGACTCCATACACTGTACCCATATGGGAATCAAACCCTGGTCTTTGGTGAGGAAAGCCATGCTTTAACCAGTCGTCTATCCTACTTCAGAAAAATGTGAAGCTGCACCTCTGTCCATACATTACTCTGACAGAAAGATGGCAGTCTTACTGTAGTCACGAGATCGGGCAAATTCATCCACTTCAACCAGATATATTTACTAAATGTCTTCCCAGATTGAACTGGATGAAGAATTTTAACAGTCAGTTTCTGATCTGGTGTTCTACAATATACCACTGATAACTGAACAGTGCGCAGGTAAAGCTGATCAGTCCCACATAAATCATCAATGCATTGTTGACCAAGTAACATTTGATTAAAAAAACAAACATTCTTGCACATTGAAACATTTGTAATAAATAATAGAAGCAAAACCACTATCACAGTCCCTAAATTTGAGATGAGATCACCGTTTGAAATTGGAATACATGAAAAATTATTTTTATTCTTTACAAGATGTTTCAGAGCTAATCCTCACTGCTTCATCAGGTGAAGCAGCATACATCATATATAGAACATAAAGAAGTCCTAATTCATAAAAGTTGTTATGTCTTCTTATTCTTCCAACTTCTAAATACCTTTCAAGGGCGAGTTGTTCCAAATTGGTTCAAACTGCAGTTCGAGTTGTTCCAAATTGGAGTTTGCTATCTATTTCCAATTTCGCAAAGGAGCCTCTTTGCAAACTAATTTGAGACCTATTTTTTTTGTATTTTTTTTTTACGAATAATTGAAATATATCAGAAAAATAATCTTAATATTTTTCAATTTGCTGTTTTTTCATGTTGGGTATCAGTGAACCAACAACAAAAATGACCACAAAAAAAATAAATTTCTAAAACCTCAAACTTTTCAAATCAATTGTACAATGAAATAGCATTTTCACACCTGTCACAATGCTGTTTATCTTATAATTCCAGAACATGCAACTGTTCATGTGTTTTATTCAGCAAGTCTGCCATTGATATAGTTTCACAAAACCTAGACATATGTGCACTTTGGACAACCAGGAGATTTGTTTCTTCTCAAGGAAAAATGATCCAATTCTGAATCCAAGAGATTAACTTCACAAACCTTTAGCTTAAAAAACGTACCTCACTATGTGCAAATTCCATGTTCTATGTACAAGATGTAAATGAAAAAAATATTTAATAATCCTTTGATAGAATGACCCAGATAGCATTCGGACGTTGGCCCAACGTTGGCAAAACCATTGCCAACGTTGGGCCACCGTCTGAATGCTATCTGGGGATGTGGTTATTATAATGGTTATTTGTCTGAGAGTGCAAAAATATTGTGACTCAGTCCACTCGTGACAATTAAATGATTACGATCATGATGATCATGATAATCTGAACATCGCATTTATTTGTAATAGTGGTACTGCTCCTATCATTTCATGCAAATGGACAATTCAGGGTCCAGACAGCCTTAAATCCATCTAACCTTCAGCACCACATCTTGAAAGATGCAATGCTTTAAACAATATGTACACCTGTGCTAGCAGCACTCTCCCATTTGTCCAACTGACGTCTCCTGCTTCGAATCCTATTAGCAATTCGAAAACCATCCTGCAATATCCCTCCATGTTGTTTCTTCTGCATATAAACCATACAAAAAGGTATTCCAAAAATTCATATGCATGATGGCCGTGCACACTTGCAATCTTTACGCATTCACTGGGATTTCTTCATTTCAAACTCAAGGTCACATCCTAGATTTTCATCAGGAGCACATTTTGTCCTTTCTGTGACGCTCCACCCTGTTCAGCTTGACCCCCTGGTCCAACAGTAATAATCAAACACTAATCACATGGGACTCTCCTCAAGAAGTACTTTCCACCTTGATCTTCTGTTTCATGATCTCTAGTTGGCCCATGATGTTATGGACGAGGTCCGGCTTGATGAGGCTGAAGTCAAACAAGTTGACCATGTGCAGCATGAAGTTTCTACACAGATTCTTCTCTATAACAGTCTTCCCATTCTCCTCAATGAATGTTTTGCATGCTGGGCCGAGCTGGCAGTCTGCGATGTACCTGGGAACAAACAAACACTTCAGGTTTTTGCATAGGAAAGATGTTTCCTTAAAACAATTACTTTGAGCTCGGTGGCTTAGGCCTCCTTTTGGTAGCAAAATATCAGCAACTGCATGATAGGAACAAAAAGAATTTTTCTGAGACTGAAAAAAAAAACCCAACCAGAATTTTTCTTTGGTATTGATACATAACTCAAAATCATGCAGTTTTGGGTATCGACATGGAACACAATTTCATTAAACAAATATCGAACGGCATAAGAAGCTCCTCCCATAACCACAACTCAAGATGCTCTGTCAAGATGTGTGCACACAAAAGAAAGTAACTGCATAATATAATGGATCTCGTCGATTTTGAGTATTGCAGCAAATCTTTCCTAGAGTCATGTGAGATAGACACAGTAAACATACTGTTTGTTCTATTTTTAAAAAACTAACTGGAAATATAAACAAAATGTGCATGTACTGGGATTTCTAGAAATGCAATTTTTCGGAAGGGTACAATATAGCACGAGATAGATAAATTAGCCGTGCCTGTCAGATTGAGCATATTGTTTTAAAGGAAATAATCCAATTTGGGCCAGACAAACCGATGTGAATGAGTGCATGAGAAACAGGTCATGTTGTCATGGCATCATGACACGGTGGTCAATGTCCCACCATACAGTTGTCTCCAATAAAATGGGCAACTGGTGTTCCCACAGATCCAAGGAAAGAAGAGTGAGCAAGAGAGCCTTTTTAAACATTTCAGCGATGTCAGGACAGGGGACATCAGCAAGAAAGGGGAAAGGAAGTACTGGGATGTGTGTGTGAAGCAGCATACTCATGTTTGATGATGTGGAGGTTCCACAGCTTCATCAGCTCCTTCTCCCCCTCATTGACATCTGTGAACTCATCGATCATCTGGAACATAACACAACAGTGTGATCATCTGGAACATAACACAACAGTGTGATCATCTGGAACATAACACAACAGTGTGATCATCTGGAACATAACACAACAGTGTGATCATCTGCAACATAACACAACAATGTGATCATCTGGAACATAACACAACAGTGTGATCATCTGGAACATAACACAACAGTGTGATCATCTGGAACATAACACAACAGTGTGATCATCTGCAGCATAACACAACAGTGTGATCATCTGCAGTGTGATCATCTGCAGCATAACACAACAGTGTGATCATCTGCAACATAACACAACAGTGTGATCATCTGCAGCATAACACAACAGTGTGATCATCTGCAACATACCACAACAGTGTGATCATCTGCAACATAACACAACAGTGTGATCATCTGCAGCATAACACAACAGTGTGATCATCTGCAGCATAACACAACAGTGTGATCATCTGGAACATAACACAACAGTGTGATCATCTGCAACATAACACAACAGTGTGATCATCTGCAACATAACACTATCAACAGTAGGACATAAGTAAAAATCTAAGGGAAAGAATGAGTCTCAAACTGTAAGTCACATTACACGTAGCAGCTGTTAAGACCACACTCTTCTTTAAGCTACATTTAGCTAAATGTACTTCAAACTGTGTCCGTTACTTCAGGTTAAAATAAGAGGACTCACGGGCCCCAAAGAAAGTTGAACTTTGGCACCTGTGACAACTCTGCCATGAGTGACTCCAACTCTATGTATATGATTAAAAGATCTGTGTAGGCGGAAAATGCAACATACGTTTATTGTCTTCTGTCTCAGCCAGAGAGGGTCATTTTCTGCTTCGTTGTCGAAGTCAATCTCCTGAGGTCGGATTGGTGCACAAGTAACCAGGTGATAATACAGTCTGGAACGGAAAAAACAGGACCAAGTTGAAACACACATAAAATCTCTCCTTGCCCATCAAAAAACCCTACTGCACTCACCACACAGCCAACAGATCAAAGTCATACTGCATCAGACCTAGCGGAATCATTTTAAAGTAACATTTTGTAAGTTGTAAGAAGCCTCTGACTGTGTTAATGTGCAGTCTCAATCTTAAAACTGACATTCTTTTACCACTTTCAGCATTACCTTCCAAGCTTACAAATATGGTGTGAAACCCATTTTCTTGCATATCAGAGTACAATACGAAGGGTGAATACTAGGGCTGCGCAATACAACCAGTTTACTGGTATTTACCGGTTCAGACATGAAAATGATACGTATTGCGATACGCTGATCGAAAACCGGTATTTTGACATGCATTCGGAAAACTTCGTAACACTCGGAAATCTTCGGATATTTCCGTTTTTTAAATTGTTCTTTTCCCTGTTTCATTAGTGCCAAATGTTACTTATTTTTATTTTGTCATGATTAAAAGTTTTTATAAAAGGTTAATCAATCATAGTGATTTTGTTGTGTTTTTGCTTTATAATCAAGCATTAACTACATTATAAGCAGTTTTTGTCAAAAAAATAATCCTTGCAATATATTGCAATACATATCGCAATATATGCTTCCACATCACAATATATCTGCAATATGTATTCCACCACTCAGCAATATTCCAGCTATACAGAGAATCTCACCCAAGTGAGGGTGAGATTCTATTTATCATCCAAAATCACTCTTCATTAATTTTCAATGAAAAATGTACATCTCTGAACACGGTACTGCCATTAGACTTGCAGTGCAGCAATGTCATAGCATTGTGACGTTATCAAGTGCATGACGTCATAGCATTGTCAGAGCATTGTACAAAATCTACTGTCAAAACGATATCTCCTAGGAGATATCGTTTGATCTCACACAAGCGATATCTCCTGTGGAACACCGTTTTGGATGATAAATGACAGTGGTCTGTATTACAGTATATCACTGAGTTTGGGCCAGACTCTCCAGTGATCAACACCATGAGTAATGATCAATGCAACTGGGATAAGCTGGATCATCATCAGGGTCAAACTAACCATCAGTAAGTAAATGTCTATCCTCACCTATTATGTCCCTGAACAAACTGGCGGTTGATCTGAATGTCATTCTCTGGTTCCATGAACTCTGTGAGTGATGCCTCTGGGCTCTTGGGTCTAAACACAACACATCAACACAAGTGTAATGTTCATCAATTGTATAGTATCACTGTCATACTTAGCTGACCTTGCACTGGCCTCTGATCGGTCACTCAAATAAAGAACTGTTGAAAAGATCAATCAAACGGGGTAAAATTACTCCAGTAATAGAGTGAGTGAGTATGGTTTTATGCTGCTTTTAGCAATATTCCAGCAATTTCATGGTGGGGGACACCAGACATGGCTTCACACATTGTATCTATGTGGGGAATCGAACCTCGGCTTTAACCACCAGGCTATCCCACCATCCCCGGAGAAATTATTCAATATGCTTATCATATGAAAACACAGGACCAAATACATGAAATGCTTATTAAGAGAATATCACTTTCACAAATTATCATCTGGTGTAACGTAAGAGCATTTCAGCTCTCCAGGAAATACCTAAAATATAAGGTGACAGATACTTAAATTTTATATTTTGTTGTTGCCAGAATTCCAGCCACATCATATGAATGCAAATATGTAGCTCAACAAAGCAGCCCCCAGGCTATTTAATTGAGTAAAGCATAAACAAACTGGATACAATGACACAGATAATAATAATAATTCATTTATATAGCGCCTAGTACCCATCTGACTAGCTGCTCACTGGACGCTGTAATCAGATTATTATTACCACGGATAACCCAAGCTGCCTGTATGGCCCTAGAAGGTTATAATCACATGATTTTATCCCACCGGGTACCCATTTTCTGCTGGGTGAACAGGAGCAATTTTGAACAAACTCTTTTGCCTAAGGTGAGACCACATGTGTCAGGTGTGCTTCTTTGTGGGGCAGGACTGAAGTCCTAGAAACTCGCAGGAGTCAAGCTGCCAAACACAGTCACCCATCCTAGGACTGTCCGAGCTCGAAGTTGCTTAACTTAAACCGATTCGTGACCTGAGCTCTACGGACAGAACCACACACCACCACAGTTACCTGGATTAAACATTGAAAACTACTTCCCCTTGCTCTTGGTAAGTGTGAGATATGGAGGACAATAATGCCCTTGACTTCTGACTTGGTAATCAGAGCCTGGCTGTTAAATTCCAGTTGTTCGCTGTTGTCCAGTTTTGTTTCAAATAATCATATATCACGATGAGTGGTTTCAAGATTTACAATTTCCTTGCTACTCTCAAGACACAACTAACCATCTGCCCCACAATTCTGACTTGGAGCCTGAGGGCTCACTGACTTTCAACCATGAAGTGCTTTCTACAATGTCTTGATTACCCCATCTTGATCACTTCAGGGACAATCTCATCAAAATAAGCTGTTTTAATACCAAATAAACTTCTTTTCATGAACGTCAGGCAAACCCTCCATGAAGCTTCTAAATTGTTGGTCGAGTATGTGAACCATTAAGACCAGCAATCTGATTTATCTATCATAAATAAGATTATTGGTTCTGAATGAAGAACAATGGAATCTGTATCATTTTGTTGTAAATTTTTCCACACCCTGCCGTTTCAGAGAACAATGGCAAGTAAATCCAAAGGGATAAAGACATCATGGATAATATTTATTTCGGTGTTTCTTTTGTTGAAACAAAAGTCCCTGAATCGAAACAAAGCAGGCTTGTTGCACAAATCTGACACGTTACCTGAATAATCCATCAAATCTAAATATGGATTGTGAGGTCAACGTTCACTTGGCACCAAAATATGAATGATTTGTCAGATTGTTCTGCAGAAGGGCCATGTATCAGAGAAAGGGATTTGATCTTAAGCAGATTGACTTTGAGGTTGAACCCTTTGACTGCCCTCACCTGTACACGATCACATGGGTGACTGGCGTTCTTCTGACTGGGCCATTGCGGCTGAATGCATACCCAATGTGGGAATGAAGATCTTGCGGGTTGCCCACATACGATCCATCGTAACGTTCATTTATTGACACATCAATTCTGGCATCTTTGGAATGAGGCTGAAAAAGACCATAGTCAAAAATATATTTTTTTAAATTCACTGTTTCCATGCAGGCTGTCCTCAGTCTTATCCAAGGCATTTGAAATCTTTGAATACACAATGCCAGGATAGGACTAAACCCAATAAAAGTACGAGAATCTGGACTTTACTGAGAAAGTGTAATCCCAAACATACCATAAAAAAAGTAGGGGATATTGGATTTACAAGACGGATAAAATGCAAATGATGAAGCCAAGGAGGAAACAGATGATGAAGAGAAATTAAGGGAAAATGTGACAATTTATTCCATTCCTTTTGAAATGTTTCATCTGTATGGATCTATATTACTTTTCTCATATGCATTGGCATACGTTAGTGGTATGCTCGCAAAATGGAATATCCCCTACTTTTTTTAATGGTATATAAAATGTGTTACATTTGAAATCGTATTTCTCTTTCATAATCACAACAGTACAAAGTACATGATATTTTGGAACTTATTTCTTCTAACATGAACAACACCTGGCTGATATATTTGGCTGCAAATCTTCAGTGATTATTTCCAGATTGGAATGAATAACTTTCCATATTTATCAGTTACAACCAGTGTTGGATGCTTTTGAGGTATGTCTCCAGCAACAGGACCAATGAAGATGACGTGACCTTCATGATTAGTTTCACATTTACTGTTTCTGAATTTAGAAAAATGATTAAACTAATCATGCTTTCATTGAAAAAGCATGGTTGTTTGTTGGGAAGATATATCCATGGCAACACAACATGACTCACCACATAAAGGAAGTCGAAGCGGGCGTGGTCAAGGCGGAGGTGTTTGAGGAGACTGTAGAGTTGCATGCAGTTTATTGAGCACCATGGACATCGGAGGTCTTCCCTCGCCTCCGTCTGCTGCCTTGTGTTGTTATTGTACAGAAACTGGTAAAATATACGACTTCGCTTCCGGGGGGTTGTTTGATTGGAATCTTTCAACCGGTGGACTGGAGTGTCCTTGTGTTTCCCTGAACAGCAGACGTACATGGATGTAGCAAACATTGTTTAAGCATTGTGCTGGGAGGTTTTCACCTTTGTCCAGTCCAGTGACGGAGATTTAAGCCTGAAGCCATAAAAAAAACGTCAGGTAATCCAATTTCAAGCTCCTAAATTTTCACAACATATGCACTTGTTTGGAAACATCATCCATGGAGTTTAAGTTTGCTATTGTGTGTTTGTCAAATTCAGCAATATTTCAGCAATATGACGGTTTGTAAACACGAATCTGGACCAGACAATCTAGTGATTGGTATTGTTCACAATGTGCGAGTGCAATGATATGCCACAATCTATGTCACCGAACTAGACCACTCCATCCATATGGTACTCTCTTATGAATAGCCCCGGCTGCTGGGCACCTCTCTTAACAGGCTATCCACATGGGGCTAAAACTTGTTGCCAGTTCTGGCAAGGACGATATTATCTTATATATCTAAACAAGTGGGACAAAACCCTTACCATTTTCATTAGAAATATCTCCAAATTCAGAGTTGATTTTGACTATCTCATATGTAGTTGTTCATAAACCACCATCAAGAAGTGATATCAGGTGTTTGCAAACAGGTGAGCACATGACAACCACATGCAAAGTCAAGTCAATTAATCACCTGAAAAAACAGAGGAACATACTGACTGACTGAATTTAGGTTTACATCGCTTTTAGCAATATTACAGCAATATCATGGTGGGGGACACCAGAAATGGGCTTCACACATTGTACCCATGTGGGGAATCAAACCTGGGTCTTCGGCATGATGAGTGAATGCTTTAACCACAAGGCTACCCCACCGCCCCCACAGGAACATCATTTTGTCACTGATGCATCAATTTTGGAATGTTCTCCACATCTACCATAAAATGGTTTGAAAGCTTTGCTGATGTCCTGAATGGTGTAACATTGGTCAAGGGTTGTATGAAGCACTTTGAAATCTTGGAAACAGCATGTTTGAATGTACTTCAAAAGATGGCTGTTGTTGCTGGACTATCTAAACAGAAAGGGACAGTTGACAATTGGAAGTTGTCATTCAATGTCAAGTTGTCCCGCCAATATGATCATGTCAGGATCTGATGAACTAATGGCTAACAAAACAAACGATCCTCCACTGTGACGCACACACTATCAGCCAGTCACACCTTGTTGTCACCCTATCTGATAACAAGTCCGCTCTTGCACTACAAGGGGTCTCTTGGGACATGAGTGAGTGGGGTGCCCACCAGTTACAGTTGGCTATCTGAGCTATGGATACTCTAAGAGCCATGTCATGCTTGACAAGATTAATGGCTGCCCAGCCAAGTCATGCTCGCCAACCTGATCAATGGTTAAAAATGAAGCATACAAGTTTATAGACGACAACTTCTTGTTTATTGCATCCATAAAGTTGTATGCTACATTTTTTACTCCAGTGTTCACGAATAGCATCTGACCCTCTGACAAATCCGGTAGGCTGATGTTGTTATATGTGACATGTGACACTTGTTTGCTGTTTATAAATCTTATGTTTGTTAACAATTTGATTTCAATGCCAATTATAAGAAATGTTCAATCTGAAATGTGTGTTTAATTTCATTCTATGGGTCCTGTGAATTTTCAATGGGTCAGACAGACATCTGAAACTTGCGGGACAAATGTCCTGTTACTTTGAAACACCATTCGTGAACACTGGACTCACCAACTTGTACAATGCCGGTCAAACAATGATCTATGCATCACGTGAGTTATGGCTGCCTACCTGAGTTATCGTTATCCAGGATATGGTTAGCGAGCTGGTTGTTGTTGATGAACTCTTCCTGAGCTGCCTTCACACTTGCATGGTCCCCAGCACCCTGAGCAGTCTCCGTCCAGCGTAGGCTGAACTTTAGTGTTGGACATTTGTTAAAAACCTCAAATGGTCCCACAGCCTGTGCATGGAAATATCAACATCAGAACAGGATTGTTACAACAACACGAGTGGGTTTGGATTAAGAGGTGAGGTGAGGTGAAATTGGGTTTAACATTGTGCTTGAGAATATTTCGCTCATATGACAATGTGCATGTGTGTGTGTGTGTGTGTGTGTGTGTGTGCAGCTGCTTGTACTAGCCCATACTGAAGCTGGTTTTATAGTGCTAGCCCACTGAGATGCCATGCCGCAGTGAAGCATGAATACCCCACTCAGACACATTATACTGACTCCGAGCCGACCAGTCCTTGTTTTACCCATTAATGCCAAGCGCCAGGCAGGGACCAACAAATACCATATTTTAACGTCTTTTGGTATGACGCGGTCGGGGATCGAACCCGCGACCTTCCGCTCTCTGGGCGAACACTCTAACCACTATACCACGGAGGCGGTCTTGGATTACGAGACTTTGAACGGTATTTCAAGAAAGTTAAAAGTAAGGCAGGCCTTAGATGTTCACAACCCTTTGGAAGTGGGGCCTGTAAGTCTCGCGATGCGCTACTTCCAGTACTAAGCTGGTTCCCGGCTCCCTTTGCGTGCACCAGCTTGCGATATGCAAGACTGGGCCCAGCTTACTTCCGGTACCAGATTTCTGGTGACAAGCGTATATTCAAGAACCCGTTCTGGTTCCAAATTGTGCAACCGCCGAATAGACCGGAAAAGTGTACAACCATGCTTGGCTGTTGCAACTGTTGACAGTCATAGCAGTTGGTTAATTTGTGGATGGTTAGATCGGAAATTTGTTATTCCTGGAAGGATTATCGGTTCCTTACTGTCAACTGACAACCATGAGATCATTCAAAATGGTATGAAACATTGTTTGTCACTGGAAGCACTAAACAACCAAAGGTCTCGTGAAGTGCCATGACCTACTTACTCTATTACAGAGGAGAGGTATGAAGCCAACAAACCTAAAATATAATCAGACCAAATCTGAGTTTAAACCCTATGACCATTGAATCGGGGCAAGTTTATGGGACTAACTCTGTAAAGCAAACTGGAACACCATAGAGCCAACTGTGCTCCAAATTATGGATGAGTGAGTGAGTTAGTGAGTGAGTGAGTTTGGGTTAGACTTTCCTTCAAATTTATCATAAAAATAAAAATATGATACTAAGAAACAATATTGGTGGCTTACATGAGGTGAGGTGAAATGGGTTTACGTCGCGCATGAGGTGAGGTGAAATTGGGTTTAACGTTGTGCTTGAGAATATTTCGCTCATATGACGACGTGCATGCGTGTGTATGTGTATCTGCTTGTACTAGCCCAGACTGAAGCTGGTTTTATAGTGCTAGCCCACTGAGATACCATGCCGCAGTGAAGCATGAACAAGTGTTTGCCACTAATATGGCAATGTCCCCCGCCACTAAAGAATGGAATATTCATAACATATTTACTACTTTTTATTTTTTGCTCACATACAAGATGCCTGAAATCACTGGTGTCTGCATAATCACCCAATGTAGCCTGTCGACATAATTGAAGACATTGGATGCAATGTTTTATGAGATATCGCGGTTTACATAAATTTGAAAAGTGGTCAAAGTGTTGTGGTGACCTTGAAGATACGGTTAAGGTCACCCAAATAAACTGGTGTCTGGATAATCCCCCAATGTAGGCTGTCACCAAATTTGAAGACATTGGGTACAACAGTTCATGAGATATCTCGTTAACAAGAATCGGGACGTACGGACGGACAGACGGACGCCGCTGAATACATAACCCACTCCGACACTTATACTGACTCCGAGCTGACCAGTCCTTGTACCCATTAATGCCAAGCGCCAGGCAGGGACCAAGAAGTACCATATTTTAACGTCTTTTGGTATTACACGGTCAGGGATCGAACCTGCGACCATCTGCTCTTCGGGTGGATGCTCTAACCATTACATTACACTACGGACGCGGTCACATCAAAGGAGATGATAGTCGGACAGAAGTGCATCGTTCTTCTTTGGTTTATAATACATAATCTAAAATGCATACACTATACTTAGCAGGGGGCAGACAAATGGTTATTTAAGATGTATAGCAATTCTAATCTCTCTTAGAGAAGTGTTGATTTGATTTATAGATAATACCCTGGATAACAAGGGCTGGCAGTTTTACCTTCCCATCCATGACTGTCTCCCATGCTGCCTGTCCTTTAGGAAGAGGTTGGGAGCCCAGATCCTGTAGGGCCACCTCGTAGTCTCCATCAGTGAGCAAGCAGCGCCTGTGCTTATCATATATGACTAGTTCGGCCCCATAATGGAGGGAATCTTCATCATGGGAGAATGTTTTGCCATTTTTCCTACGTTTATGAGGTGGTTCATCTACAAAGAAAGAGCTTGTCATCAATTACATAATCACTAATTGCAAACATTTGTCCACCTTTTAAAAATTTGGTTCTCTTTCTTGTTTTCTGAACTCAAGGGAAACATTTAGTAACCATGGCAATAAGGACTGCCAATTAGGGTGATGATTCATCACCTTCTGGATTTTATTGAAAGCAATGACAATAAACTTCTTAATATTTGGTAAATTACAAAACTACACTTGTACACAGTCATATCAATATGTTTCATTAGAACATGGTGTATTTTTCCGTAATGTTACACGCTCTACATCACTCTGTAACAAACCATGAGTCCTACAAGTTCTTTAAACCTGACCAATAGTATCAATCTAGTCTGGCAGACAATTTATACCAACATGCATAGTTTGGGCTGTAAGACTAGATCAAATTACACGGCCTAGCTGCAGCCTATTACCAATGAGCTACCAGACCTGAGTCGGGGAAAACCAGTGGTGGACAGCATGAGCAGGATCATAACTGTCAGGGTACACTCAACAACCCGATCCTGTGATTTACACAGTCACAACCTGATCCTGTGATTTAGCTAGAATTCCAAACCAGGTATCCTTGCAGACAAACATGGAAAAATATGGTATTCATATATTTGCGATTTCATAAGATTAAAGATATGTTACACTGCATTGAATGCAAAACTGAAGTAATAAGTGTTAGGTCATATTTCTCTTTACTGATCAACTTGTGTTATCAGGGCGGAGAGAGTGAGAGTGAGAGATAAATCTCTTCACATGAACACCAAGAAACTTTTCTTTCCCTGAATGCCCTCCAGGGTCGTCCATGTAACATTCGACTACCTGTTATATGTACAAAGCTTACCTGAATCATACAAATCTCCGTTACAGACACCATTGGGGAGATGGCGGCGGACCGGGCAGACTACTTTGATGACCAGGACATAGGAGCGGACGGCATGACCATTATTGTGATGAAAATTGTCATGACCTATTGTCAGTGTGTTGGCAGGAGAGATGTCAACATCGGGGTTGAGGCTGACCTTGACCTTTCCCAGGACAGTTTGCATTACGGGAGACGATACATCCTACAATATAAAGGGAGAAGCAAACCCTTATTTCCTTTAAACTGATATAAAATGAAAGTTTTTAATTCAATTTTCAATGGTATGATCTTTTTAACATAAAGCTGGTTATAGATTAATATTTTCTTATTATTCAAGATACAACATTGACTTGATGTTAAGTAACACATGGGCAATGCTTGACTGCTTTAGTACACGCTACAATGTTTTGTCAGTCTTAGTGACAAGGAAATTTTATTGATAAAAGTTTGAATTTGAATACCTTTCCCCCCAGAAAAACTTTCATTTATAAGCAAAACAACTTCAGGCTGTAGGTCTATTTGGAGTAAGAGTGAGTAAGTTTAGTTTTACACCACACTCAGCAACATTCCACCTATTAGGCGGATTTGGAGTAAGAAGTATCAGTATAACTGCCAGTAAATTCTGTTATTCCAAATCAATCCTCATGCCTGAAAAAAATCACTGCAAAAATCTTTATAGTGACTTAATAATAATAATAAAACTGTTCATATCTATAATTTGTTTACCAACAAATTAACAAACATGCAACAAAAACACAATGTGGTTGACGAACCTTCCTCTTCTTGTGACAGATTTTCAGCAATAGTATTTCAACATCAGCAGTGTCATTGTCACTTGGAACTGGAACAAATATCAAACTACTGTTGGCATACAGATGATGTATACAACAACTAAATGACCAGAAAAAGAAGACAATGTTGTAGGGATAAGGAATGTGCTGATTCACCATAAATAGATATGTGTTAGCATTTGTAACTAGTGCCCAGTCTAAATCATAAAGGAAAGGAATATGAAATTGAACTTACTCCCAGGGTCTGCAAATCCTTTAAAGGTTAAATTCATAAACTCTGACTTGTAGCTGAAAGTTTAACAAAATACATTTGATAATTCCAAATGAGTATTTCATGTGTAAATTCACAAAATTGTGGATGACAAAATAGTGACGTAATAAAATACATGAATTGATTATTCCAAAAGAGTATTTCATGTGTAATTTCATAAAATTGTGCATTACAATAATGGTGATGTCATAAAATGCATGAAATTATTTTCATACCAATTGCAATCTGCTTAAATGTTTTATTGAGCTCAAATACTGAACTCACACTACCCTCCGCCAATTGAAGAACATGTACAATTATTATGACATTGGGGTAAATTAATTGCTACAAGTAATCCTTCACAGCGCAGCTCAGTCACTGATACCTCAGTTACGAGGTATTGTTTGGGTTATTTGTTTTACAGTCATTGGTTTTATCACATTATCCAAAACATTAATCAAACAGACCATCCTTCCCTCTCAATCAAAACTTAACTTACTTTGTTATTTGTGCCTCTCTCCGTCGCTTAGCTTCAACTTGGGACAATAATGAGTCTATCTTAAAAGCTTTCCTGTAAAGAAGAAAATAAATTTGTTTACGTCCGATTAACTTTGAATAAACCTTTGTTATTTCATTCAATACCTTGATCATTACTAGACTCTGAAAGGAAAATATTCGCATGCAACATACAATAACAGAAATGCGGAAGTAAATAGTCTTAGCGTAGCAAGTGGCCATGCGTTTTCTATTTTTAGCACCACGTAAGAGGGACCATTGCATGCGCAGATCGTTTATGCTGGCAGTTGTACTATCTTTCGAACTTGCATTGCCGACAAGGTAACTGCATCCAGCTATATTATTTATCAATTTATTACAATATATTTCCAATCCAATGTCAACTTGTGGACGGCATGAAGGCATGCTGTATGACTCAAGAATTCCAAAACGACGAGCCCTCCCCAAACATGGCGCCGAAAGGCAATACTACCCGATAAAGATAGTTCATGCATCTAAACCAAAAACGTCTGCATACTCAAAAACTACAGTGGCGATATGGTTAAAGTGGAAACGGCATCCATCAGATTGCAAGAAAGTCCGATTCCCAGCGTTTACCACAATGTATTATACAAAGCAGATTATATTAAATTTGTTTTAAAAACCCTAGACATTTTAAACAGGATCGTATGTGACATTGCTTACTTAATCAAAAACTCACTAGATTGTGGACATATAACAGTACCCCAATATACTTACACATAGTGTGTCAACTAATAACGATTCGTCTACGCCCCGCTAAACATAGTGTACGTATTCAGATATGTGATTATATTACAAACCAATGAGAATTATGTACTTCTGCCCGATGGTTATAAATAAAGCTTCTTCGATAGCGTAATGCTTATGTTCAATGTGCTGATAGAAATGCGAAGAATAAGGATTTTGATCTTAATTAAGATCACGACAGTTCTAATTGCGGAGCATCATTAAGCAGTCCGCATATATAACCCTTCTTCGCTGAGCTGACAGGACTATGTCAAAGACGAGCATTATCCGAGAACAGTGCTACGACTCTAAGCGCGAGGATTTCAAGGTCGGTGACAGTTTGCAGAAAAAATCCAATATTGACACATGTCCACTGGGCTGAATATGGCTGTAGGCAAGAGACGCAAAAAGGCCTGCGTGTTATGTGGACCAGCGACGCTTTCATTGTACCTGATGACTGATTGAATGTAAATAAATAAACAACCTCTGAAATAGTTGCCGACTGTCAGGGTTGTTTTGACCATTAGTCACACACATTATTGTTCTTTACAGAGTCACAACTGGCAGTTTCATGGAGATATCTCAAGTGGTTGTCATTGAAACCAAAAATACTTTGGGGATAACTATTGGTTAAAACAAAACCCATCAGGGGAGTGGGATTACACGCTGCCTTCAACAGTATTGCGACCGTGCAGTATTCCAGCTATATCATTTTGGTGGACACTAAAGTACTCACGGAAATAGAAATAAAATGGGTTTTGGTGTTTTCGTAGTTTTTGAACACAACTAAAATGTGATTGTTAAATATTCTATGACTACAGTATCGTTTTTTCCCAACTTTTGTTTTTAACACTTTTTGTAAAATCACAAAATTGTGGATGACAAAATAGTGATGTAATAAAATACATGAATTGATTATTCCAAAAGAGTATTTCATGTGTAATTTCATAAAATTGTGCATTACAATAATGGTGATGTCATAAATTGCATGAAATTATTTTATACCAATTGCAATCTGCTAAAATGTTTTATTGAGCTCAAATACTGAACTCACACTACCCTCCTCCAATTGAAGAACATGTACAATTATTATGACATTGGGGTAAATTAATTGCTACAAGTAATCCTTCACAGCGCAGCTCATTCACTGATACCTCCGTTACGAGGTATTGTTTGGGTTATTTGTTTTACAGTCATTGGTTTTATCACATTATCCAAAACATTAATCAAACAGACCATCCTTCCTCTCAATCAAAACTTAACTTACTTTGTTATTTGTGCCTCCCTCCGTCGCTTAGCTTCAACTTGTGACAATAATGAGTCTATCTTAAAAGCTTTCCCTGTAAAGAAGAAAATAAATTTGTTTACGTCCGATTACCTTTTGTTATTTCATTCAATTCCTTGATCATTACTAGACTCTGAAAGGAAAATATTCGCATGCAACATACAATAACAGAAATGCGGAAGTAAATAGTTTTAGCGCAGCTAGTGGCCATGCGTTTTCTATTTTTAGCACCACGTAAGAGGGACCATTGCATGCGCAGATCGTTTATGCTGGCAGTTGTACTTATCTTTCGACCTTGCATTGCCGACAAGGTAACTGCATCCAGCTATATTATTTATCAATTTATTACAATATATTTCCAATCCAATGTTAACATTGTGGACGGCATGAATGCATGCTGTATTAGTCATGAATTCCAAAACGACGAGCCCTCCCCAAACATGGCGCCGAAAGGCAATACTACCCGATAAAGATATTTCATGCATCTAAACCAAAAACGTCTGCATACTCAAAAACTACACAGTGGCGATATGGTTAAAGTGGAAACGGCATCCATCAGGTTGCAAGAAAGTCCGATTCCCAGCGTTTACCACAATGTATTATACAAAACAGATTATTTTAAATTTGTTTAAAAACCTTAGACATTTTAAACAGGATCGTATGTGACATTGCTTACTTAATCAAAAACACACTAGATTGTGGACACATAACAGTACCCCAATAGACTTACACATAAGGTGTCAACTAATAACGATTCGTTTACGCCCTGCTAAACATAGTGTACGTATTCAGATATGTGATTATATTACAAACCAATGAGAATGATGTACTTCTGCCCGATGGTTATAAATAAAGCTTCTTCGATAGCGTAATGCTTATGTTCAATGTGCTGATAGAAACGCGAAGTATAAGGATTTTGATCTTAATTAAGATCACGACAGTTCTAATTGCGGAGCACCATTAAGCAGTCCGCATATATAACCCTTCTTCGCTGAGCTGACAGGACTATGTCAAAGACGAGCATTATCCGAGAACAGTGCTACGACTCTAAGCGCGAGGATTTCAAGGTCGGTGACAGTTTGCAGAAAAAATCCAATATTGACACATGTCCACTGGGCTGAATATGGCTGTAGGCAAGAGACGCAAAAAGGCCTGCGTGTTATGTGGACCAGCGACGCTTTCATTGTACCTGATGACTGATTGAATGTAAATAAATAAACAACCTCTGAAATAGTTGCCGACTGTCAGGGTTGTTTTGACCATTAGTCACACACATTATTGTTCTTTACAGAGTCACAACTGGCAGTTTCATGGAGATATCTCAAGTGGTTGTCATTGAAACCAAAAATATTTTGGGGATAACTATTGGTTAAAACAAAACCCATCAGGGGAGTGGGATTACACGCTGCCTTCAACAGTATTGCGACCGTGCAGTATTCCAGCTATATCATTTTGGTGGACACTAAAGTACTCACGGAAATAGAAATAAAATGGGTTTTGGTGTTTTCGTAGTTTTTGAACACAACTAAAATGTGATTGTTAAATATTCTATGACTATCGTTTTTTCCCAACGTTTGTTTTTAACACTTTTTGTAAAATCATCCGAAATATATGAGTTTACAGGAGAGCAAATCGTGTCATTTTCACCCCTTGAATTTTTTAAAGTAAAAATGTATCTTTCTGATGCAAGCTATAGTATGCAAATGAGATGTACTCTCCATAGGTCCGCGTACATAATATATTATATGAAAAACGTCAGATGCCATTCATCCTTTATTTCTTTTATCTCAATTGATATACTAAATGATTGATTTAGCGATTTTCTCAGTACATTTTTTTTCATGTCTGTACTCCTGTTGAAAGTTTACGATTTTTACGAGTTCATTCAAAGCTTTGATTGCCATTTGCACAATCGCTATGGCAACGCACGTGCACATGCATCTTCCCGTTTAAACAGTGCTGCAGGTTCTCGTTACCACCCATTGTTGATGGTGAACAAAGTTATAACATGTTTTAAGCTTTTGTTGATAATGTTACTTTGTTTTGTTATTTTACCTGTAAAAATGGTATTTTGAATGATGATTAGAGGACCAAATTAAAAGGCCTAGTTGGGAGAAACAGTTATTTTAATATTTGTTAAAACTACATATTTTAATGAAGTAAAAAGCAAATAAATGCCAAAAACCATTCCATTTCTATGTCGGTGATTACCTTTGAAACGGGATTAATACACTGCACCCATGACATTCTGGGAATCAAAGTCGGTCTACGGTGTGACGAGCAAAAACTATATCCATTTGGCCACACACAATAACGTCCGAGGTATTTCTCACAATTTAATGAAGACATAGTATACTGAATGATTGAGGATTTCATAGCTCAGTTTATTTTTGGGTGTGTGTGGTATCAGATAAAAATCCCAGCCCTTTCACGGGCCCCACTACATGAGATATTTACTGAACTGAACATTACCCATAGAGAATTACACGCAAAATGTACTTTTCGGGTTAGAATTGTCTTCACCAACCCATGCTTTTCGTAAGAGTGAATGAGTGTGTGAGTTTAGTTTTACATCGCTTTTAGCAATATTCCAGCAATATCACGAAATGGGCTTCACAGATTGTACCCATGTGGGGAATCGAACCCGGGCCGTTGGCGTGACGAACGAACGCTTTAACCACTGGGCTACATTACAGCCCGCTTGTCGTAAGAGGCGACTAACGGGATCGGGTGGTCAGACTCGCTGATTTGGTCTACACGTCATCGTATACCATTTGCATAGATCGATGCTCATGCTGTTGATCACTGGATTGTCTGGTCCAGACTCGATTATTTACAGGCCGCCGCCATATAGCAGGAATATTGCCGAGTGCGGCGTTAGACAATCCACGTGGGAGATCGGTAGGAATGGGGATAGCCCGTTTCGATAAAATATGGGTCAAGATCCAACATACGATCTCTATGACATTGGCGCTACGATCTTTTCAGATATACACTTGATATATAAGGTCATAACTCGAATA